GCTAAAACTGCTATCTTATATTGTACGACATCGTTTTAGTTACTTGCTTGCAAAACTGCTATCTTATATTGTACGACATCGTTTTAGTTACTTGCTTGCTAAAACCCTTTAAACTTTCTTTTAAGCTTAAGACCTGCACAAAGGAGAAGTCTCTCACTTGAATTCTTTTGTTTCGAAGCCATGGAAACTGAATCGGATGACGTCACCATTACCGTCGTCAAAGACATGAGAGCTCGATTAGAGAATCGAATTCGAAACCAACACGACGCTCACTTAGATCTTCTTTCTTCACTCCAATCCATTGTTCCCGACATAGTCCCATCTCTCGATCTCTCACTCAAACTCATCTCTTCTTTCACCAATCGACCTTTCGTCGCTACACCTCCATTACCAGAACCCAAAGTTGAGAAGAAGCATCATCCAATTGTTAAATCAGGAACCCAACAGCAACAATCACATGGGCATGATTCAAAATCGATGCTTGTTGATTCGAATCAGAGAGATTCTGGTTCTGGTGTTGAAGCTGATGGGTCTAGTGGGAGTCCTATGGTGCTTGTTAGAGCTATGGTTGCTGAGTGTTTGCTTCAACGAGTACCGTTTTCGCCTACGGATTCGTCTACTGTGCTTAGGAAGCTTGAGAATGACCAGAATGCTAGACCGGCGGAGAAGGTGGCGTTACGTGATTTAGGCGGTGAATGCGGGCCGATTCTTGCGGTGGAAACCGCGCTTAAATCGATGGCTGAAGAGAATGGTTCTGTGGAATTGGAAGAGTTTGAGGTTAGTGGGAAGCCTAGGATCATGGTTTTGGCTATTGATAGAACTAGATTGCTTAAGGAGTTACCAGAGAGTTTTCAGGGGAATAACGAATCGAATCGGGTTGCCGAAACGCCTAATTTGGTTGAGAATTCAATAGTTTCTGCTGGTGGGTTTGGGGTTTCCGGGTCGGGTAATTTCCCGAGGCCTGAGATGTGGGGAGGTGATCCTAATATGGGGTTTAGGCCTATGATGAATGCACCAAGAGGAATGCAAATGATGGGAATGCATCATCCAATGGGGATAATGGGTAGACCACCACCGTTTCCTTTGCCTTTGCCGTTGCCTGTACCGTCGAATCAGAAGCTTAGAAGCGAAGAAGATGATTTAAAAGACGTTGAAGCTCTTTTGAGTAAGAAGTCTTTTAAGGAGAAGCAACAGTCAAGGACTGGTGAGGAGTTGCTTGACCTTATTCACCGTCCAACCGCTAAAGAAGCCGCTACTGCTGCTAAGGTGAACCTTGTTAACTTTGGTCTTTAGCTTTTTAATACAAATCTATATGTGACTTTAGAAGCTTTCAAAAGGGATTGAGGAGGAAAAACATAGTATAGTTCACTGCGGACTAGATAAGTTATCTCGATACAAAGCTGTGTTAATTTGGACTAGATAGCAGACTAGATAATGTATGATTCTTGAACGAGTTTTGGAGAAGTTATTAGCCATTTTATAGTTTCTTATCATGATTATAGTGGAGCAGATACTATGCCATTCTGTGTTTTCGTAATTTGTTTTGAGTAAATAGTTTCAGGCTTTACCGTTCTCATCATTTTTTGCTGATCAGAAAAATCTGTGTGTATGCCATGGTTAGTTCTTAAGAATTGGAGTTCTCAGCATTCTGTTGGAGTTACAGTAGGGTGAAAAGCAAAGAGCTATATAACTAAGATATCTGTTTCTTCGGTTTGGATGCTGATAGTTATGGTCCTATGTGGCTATGATCTAGATGGTTTAATGTTTATAACCTGTTTTTAACCAGTTATCACAATTCACAAAACTTGTGTGTTTTGTCTCTCAGTGTGGGGTTGAAAGTTTTTGATACATGGTTTCTACTTTCAATTTTTAAACTTGATGTAGCGAAAGCAAAGATCTCTTTGCACAAAACTTGTGTGTCTGTTGTGACTTTTTCTCTTCGTATCTTGTGAGACCCTTGCCACTGTTTCTAGCCTCATCTCTTCTAGGTGTATTGTTTTGTTAGTTTTCATTTCATCTTCTAATAAACAGCTTGGATCTTGTGATTGACCGGTATATTGTTATGTTCCTTACAGTTTAAAAGCAAAGGAGGATCACAGGTTAAGTATTACTGTAGGTATTTAACTAAAGAGGATTGCCGTCTTCAGTCTGGTTCTCACATAGCCTGCAACAAGGTTTGAACCAACTCAAGTTTTACATTTTACATCTTATTTGATTGATATTTCAGAATGTTATATTGTTAGAATTCCATAACGAACAAATTGAGATTGGTTTGCAAGTCAAGTTTTGTTTGTTATTTTTGCGAGGTTTATATTGATCTCCTGCTATGGTGTCTAATTGTCTATGTTGCTTTGCTGAAATATACTTAGTTCTTATGACTTTTATATTCTTTCAGAGACATTTCCGTCGACTAATTGCTTCACATACCGACGTTAGCCTAGGAGATTGTTCCTTTCTCGATACTTGTCGTCACATGAAGGTAACTCTTTAAATGTGATAGTATTTCGGTTATTGTCGTGTAGATAAATGGTAACTGAGCAACCATTAATTTGAATTTGGACAGACTTGCAAATATGTACATTACGAGCTCGACATGGCTGACGCTATGATGGCTGGTCCAGACAAGGCATTGAAACCACTACGTGCTGATTACTGTTCCGAAGCTGAACTTGGTGAGGCACAATGGATAAACTGCGATATCCGTTCTTTTCGAATGGACATTTTGGGAACTTTTGGAGTTGTTATGGCGGATCCACCATGGGACATTCACATGGAACTTCCATATGGAACAATGGCTGATGACGAGATGCGCACTCTGAATGTTCCCTCGTTGCAGACTGATGGTTTGATTTTCCTTTGGGTCACTGGTCGTGCAATGGAGCTAGGCCGTGAATGGTACGTAGAAAAATCTCAACAAATTTTGGGTATCATGCGAGTTTCCATTAATGGAGTTTTATTTTTGTATAGTTTGGAGCTTTGGGGATACAAGCGAGTGGAAGAGATCATATGGGTAAAGACGAATCAGCTTCAACGTATTATTCGAACAGGAAGAACAGGTCACTGGCTTAATCATAGCAAAGAGCATTGCCTGGTTGGAATCAAAGGAAATCCAGAAGTGAACAGAAACATCGACACAGATGTGATTGTTGCCGAGGTTAGAGAAACAAGCCGGAAGCCAGACGAGGTTTGTCCATAATTGCCCACATATTACCAAATCGTTTCGAATTAGTATGATTCTGGAGTCTTATGTGATGAGAATGATTTGTCAACTACCAGATGTATGCAATGTTAGAGAGGATCATGCCAAGAGCAAGAAAGCTCGAGTTATTCGCCCGTATGCACAATGCTCATGCCGGGTAAAGCTTTCAAACTTTTTACTGTCATATGATTTCATTGTCCTGAATCTTATGAGACTACTGTTGTTTATAGTTGGCTATCACTTGGGAACCAGCTTAACGGTGTCCGATTAATAAACGAAGGTCTCCGAGCTCGATTTAAAGCATCATATCCTGAAATAGATGTCCAGCCACCATCACCACCAAGAGCCTCTGCAATGGAAACAGAAAACGAACCAATGGCTATTGACTCAATCACAGCTTAGTTCAATTCAAAAAAACCAGAGCCAAATGTCTCAGCTTTGTTGGATTCATGTTGCTTTGGTTTTGACACATTTGTTATGGCATCATGATTTTGTAAATCTTTATGGAAAATTAAAGGAAACAACATTAACGAAATTTGAATTTTTATTCGCTCCAGTACTTCTCATCGTCAACATCTTTATCATGTTCCAACGAATCCTCACCATCCGATTCATTGACCAAACCCATCTTGAATCTCCTCACATCTTCAACAGCAGCATTCCTAAACAATCCAACATCAACAGCTCCGGCGACCATATGATAACCACGTCCCCGGATCTCAACAGCTCCGTCGTGCGGCATCGCGAAACCCGACAAATAAGCCCCGCCTTTCGCCGGGTCTGACGTCAGCACAGATTTCTCAGCTTTCTTCATCATCTCTCTCACTTTCTTATGTCCCGGATCCCACAAATACCCCAAACTCGCACTAAGATCCAACGGTCCCATTTGCACACAGTCAACACCATCAACGGCTGCGATTTCATCAGCTTTCTTCACTCCTTCAGATGATTCCACCTGGCACATAATCAGAATCTCCTCTGCGTAATTACTTAAATACCCTTCGTCGATTCCGTAGTTCGAAGCTCGCACCACCGTGTGCGCCGATCCACGGATGCCGTCGGGAGGAAACCGGCAATACGACACCGCTTTGGTAGCGTCTTTGCGAGACTCAATCATTGGGAACATGATTCCTTGAGGACCTAGATCTAGGGCTTTTTTAGCCCAGGTTGAGGAGTTTTCCGGTAATCGGAGAATTGCGGATGTTCCGGCGGCGTTAAGAGCTCGAATACAATCCAAAGCTTCCGGTATGCCTCCGGGACCGTGTTCCATGTCAACGACGACGTAATCGTAACCGGCGTGAGCAGCGATCTCGGCTAATGTCGGCGAGAAGGAGAGTAAAAAGAGGCCGTAGAGAGTTTCTCCTCCACGGAGACGAGATTTCAAGGAGGTTTTGGATCGATTCGTGATCGCTTCCACGGCGGCGACGGGTGAGTGATCGGCGGGAGAGGAAGAGTATCGGATTGGAGTTAGCGTTTTGCGGGAGAATGAAACTGAGGATCTGATTGAGCTGAACTTCGAAGGAGATAATGATTTTCCGATGATCAGAGAAGATGGATTAAGCAGAGATGTCACATCTGTGGTGACGACGACGGCGGCGGGGAAGATTGAAGCGGTGGTCATGGCGGTGAACTTGGGAAGTATCGAAGAAGTGGTAAAAGTGTTTTTGCTTTCGTATGACCAAAAAATAAATTAGTACTCACTTATTAGCGTTTTCGGGATAGAAACTTAAACTGCATGCTGTTTTTTCTTCGAAAAACGACAAAATCTCATTTAGGGTATTTACAAAAAGCCCAACTAGATTCTGAAGCCTTTTTAATAGGCCAACTTCATTTAGGGTTTCTACTTTTCTTGTTCATTTAGGATTTCTCAAGGTCCCTCATTTGAGTTGTTTCCAACTTGAAATAATGACGACGACGATGTCAAATCTTCCAAATGATTTGTTAGAAGAGATTGTCTCTAGGGTTCCTCTAAAATCTATGAGAAAAGTGAGATTAACATGCAAAAAATGGAATGCTTTGTTCAAAAGCCGGAGTTTTACGAAGATGCATATTGGGAAAGAAGAAGAAGCATCAAAGGAATTAGGAGAGACTCGGATGATCGTGATGATGGATTGCAATGTTTATTTAATGGGCATCATCGTCAATGAAAATCCATCCATAGAGTCTTTAGGTAAACTTACTTGTCTACATGATTCAGAACAAGTCAAGATATCTCAAGTCTTTCATTGTGAGGGTTTATTACTATGCATCTTAAAAGTTGATAATACTAAGATTGTGGTTTGGAATCCGTATCTGGGGCAAACAAGGTGGATCCAAACCGGAAAGCATTACCATGCAAGTGGATGGGTAACACTAGATGTTTACAATTACGCTCTCGGATACGAAAATAATAGTGAAAATCGTAGCCTCAAAATCTTGAGGTTTACAAAAGATTTCCATTATCACTTTCCCGAAAACGTCGCTTTATGGTATGAAATCTATGATTTTGATACTGATTTATGGACTACTCTTGATGTCTCTCCACACTGGCGGATAATATCTAACTGTGGTCTTTCTCTCAAGGGAAACACTTACTGGGGCGCTGTAGAACGGAATGCATCCGCACATCATATAATTTGTTTTGATTTTACAATAGGGAGATTTGGACCGCTTCTACCTCTGCCGTTTAAGGCGAGGGGTTCAGATTTTGTGCCACTATCTTCGGTTAGAGATGAGAAGATCGCAGCTTTATTTCGGGCAAGCGAAAAGGTTGAGATATGGATTACGACTAATATTGATGATGCCAAAAATGTGTCCTGGAGCAAGTTTGTTACACTAAATATACCATACCTTGACCAGAATCTTTCATATAAGAGTTTCCTCATTGATGAAGAGAAGAAAGTTGTTGTGGTTTTTGATAACGAAAGAAAAGTCACGCACAACACCATTATTATCATTGGAGAGGCTGGATGCTTGAGGAAATTGGAGCTTGGAGAACCCGTAGACAAAAACTGTTGGCCACTTGTGTGCTCGTATGTTCCAAGTATAGTGCAAATCAAGCAACATAATGAAGGGCAAAAGAAAAACCAAAGTGATTAGGAAAGGCGTCGACATCAATATGTTCAAAACATGTTGAGACATGACAACAAATCAAGCAAGAGGAGGTGGCAAAAGGAAAAAACAATGGAAATTTGATTAGTCTCAATTTACAAAGTCTAGTTTATATGTCTTTCATTTTCCCGGTTTTTTCTTTTAGCAATATTAGTTTGTTTCTTCCCATCTATTGTTCTATATGAAAAAAAAATGTTATGTTTTACTTTTTAATTCTTACAAAACCGCTAGGTGATCCATTAAATGACTAGTTTGGTCAGAAATATCACATCCATCTCCGGAGGCGTGGTTAATACAAGTTGCAAGTATAGAAGAATATGTGTACTTGTCTCATACATTCATTTTGTACTTGATGAGATTGTGTTGCAGCTTCTGACTACGGGTATATGGTTTATTCCTTACATCGTTTCATGATTTGGAAGTTGGTTATACATGTTATGGTTTCTGCACTAAAAGAACTTAATCATTACCATGGATATGAGAGTATCCCATACCATATTAAAGAGATGTGTTTTAGGATTACAACTTTAGAAGATAGAGATACTCGATTTGGTGTCTTAAAAAAGTAAACAATTTTGAACCACATCCATATTTTTCTAATAAGTTACATAAATGAGAATCCACAGTTAAAAGATAGTTTAAGAGATTTTAAAAGCATTTCTCTGCAGAGTTAGAGCAACCTTAATGGTTGGATCCAAAAATTGGGATCCAAACAAGATTCATAATATTTATAATGGAAAATAAAAAAATTTAGATACTTTGAGTGTTTTTTTATTTTTGGACAGTCCAATGGTGGATCAAAAAAGTGAAGATCCAAAAATTTCAAAGTTTCAAAAATGTGTATAAACAAGAGAGAAAGAGAGAGTCGAAATCGAGCAACATAGAGAGAAAATAAAGCTGCAAAATTTTTTCCTTTGTTCAAAAAAACAACCAACCAACGCTTGCCACGTATGCGTGTCCAAAGCTGCTCTAAAAATCCAAAGTTAGAACCGAGTCTATTGTTTTTGTTTATTTTTGATTTATTTTTTAGACACTTTGTGTCTTAGACATCCACTTGGATCCATCGTTAATGATGGTCTTAGGTTTTCTCATGCTCCCATATTGTATTGATCATGTTGTCCTCTAAAAATCTGTCTGCTGGAATCTATTTTTATGAACGAATAGTGCTATTTTTTCAAAATATTTTCTATATATTCCGTTAGAATTTATTTTTACCATATAATTACTTTTACAACCAAGTATTTTTATAATAAAAATTTACAATATCATTTACAATATCATTTTTAGCATAAGTATTTTTTGGTATTTTTGTAGTTGCTTAAGGACACGAGTTACTATGCTACAAGCCCATTCTATGTTCTTATGAATCCAACCAACAACCTTTTTGCAGATTTTGGTGCTTTGTTAGATGATGTTGAACCTTTTCGACGATTGGTTAGGAAGCTTATGTATCTCACTATGACACTATCACTCGTCCTTACATATCTTTTGTTGTAAACAAGGTTTGTAGCTAGTTCTCCTCAGCACCTACATAACCTCGCATATACCAGCTGCTCACGAAGTTCTAAATCACCTTAAAGAGAATATTGGGAAGGATTATTTATTCTGCTGATGATGATGTTTAGGTAAAAGCTTACGTGATTCAAACTAGGCACAATATCATGATATTCGAAGGTCTTGCACTAGCTTTTGCATATTTATTGGTCAATATCTGGTATCTTAGAAATCAAAGAAACAATAGATTGTCTCTAAATCATTTGCGAAAGCAAAATATAGAGGCATGTCCTACAAAGTTGGTGAAATTGTTTGGCTGGCTCGGATGCTCACAAATTTAGGTGTTGAGATTAATTTTATGTTGGTAATTTCCAACATCGTTGTAGGTAGCTAGTGTTGGTCTATCAACAATTACGTTGTGATGCATGTAACCTTTTCTGAACATTGTAGTACAATCGAATATCATGGCTCTATTTTTCTATTTTCGTGAAGCACAAATTACTTAGTAAGTCGAGTTATTATATTATTTGTCTTATGGACAATAAATAAGATGATGTAAGAACGAAACAATATTACACGAAAAAGCAATGGTTTATCAACACATTTTTATATGTCAAAATAAATTATAACTATTAATAAACACGAGACGTAACTTAATTCAGAAATGTTCATACACATGAGGGACAACAAGATTCTTCCCTGAAATATATGTTTGAATGCATTAATGCAATATTCATAGTTGGGATCTTATACCTTTTTATATAAAAGAAAAGATTCAACGAAAAATCTTTCCTAAAAAATTAAGATTCAATTATACATATATTCCTGAAAGTGTTGGAGATAAAAAAAAATGATTTACAAAAAATTTTCTCCTAATTTAATAACATAAATCTCTATAAATCTCTAATGATATTCATAGAATCTCCTAAGGTTAGATTCTTATCACAAGAAAAAAAATCTCTAATAATTAATGTGTCTTGATATTAATTAAAAAAAAGGAAATGATAACTCGAATGGGATATTAATCTAAATTCGTTGACAAAAATGATATTATTCAACGCACACACCAAAGTCATAAGTCAATGTCACTCGTGAAACTATCCAAAGATAAGAAGAGTTATGGATTTCGCCAATCTCTTACACTATAGCCACGTGTCATAATCTTAGATGCTTAATAGACTTGCCACGTCACTCATTGTCTCTCTCGGTTCTCAAATCGCGTTTCTTCTGGTGGAGGTCAAACTTTGATCAGAAAATATAGGTCACACACAACAGCCAAAAATGTAAAAAAACAAAACTTTACAAGGCAAAAAATCCAAAATTGAGTTTATTTTTCTTCATTTTCAATGGTGTCTCGGCTTCGTCTTGCTCTAGAGTACTTCTAAGTCTCTCTTTTCTTACTTCGATTTCGATATTTTTTTCTCTTTTGTTTTTTTTGAAGACGGATTTGGTTGGTGGTTTTTAGGGCTGTTTTTGGTTCGAGACGACGTAAGAAGAAGATGGCGAGTACTAGTAGTGGTGGTGATAAGAAGAAGAAGAAAGGTTTCTCTGTAAACCCTAAAGATTATAAACTTATGGAAGAAGTTGGATATGGTGCTAGTGCTGTTGTTCATCGCGCTATTTATCTTCCGACCAATGAAGTTGTTGCTATCAAGTGTTTGGATCTCGATCGCTGCAATAGTAATCTGGTTTGTTCTAATTTGATCTCGTTTTAGCTTTAGCTTCGAATTTGATTTTGTGGGTGTGTATTTTGTGTGTTGGGGATTTTTGATTTTGGGATACAAAATTGTGATCATGTGTTAGCTTCACTAAAAATTGAAACTTTGCTTCGTTGTTGCTTTAAAGTTATCATCTTTTTTGATGGGTTATGACCAAATTGTTATCATCTTCCCATTTTGTGTTAGCTTCACTAAAAATCGAATCTTTACTTCGTTGTAGCAACAAAGCTATCATCTTTTTTGATGGGTTATGACCAAATTGTGTTATCATCTTCCCATTTTGTGTTTGCGTTTGTGTTAGCTTCACTAAAAATTGAAACTTTGCTTCGTTGTAGCAATAAAGCTTATCGTCTTTTTTGATGGGTTATGACCAAATTGTGTTATCATTTTCCCATTTTTGTTTGTGTTTGGTTGGTTTTATCATTTAGATCATATGGGATTATGAGAGACTTATTAGATCTCTCCTTTCCCTTTTTATACTTGTTTCCTATTCTCGTGTTTCCGTTTCCGCGAATTAATGTAATGTTTTTTTTTGTTTTAGGATGATATAAGGAGGGAGGCTCAGACTATGACTTTGATAGACCATCCAAATGTTATAAAGTCGTTTTGTTCGTTTGCTGTTGATCATCATCTTTGGGTCGTCATGCCATTTATGGCTCAGGGTTCGTGTTTGCATCTAATGAAGGCAGCGTATCCAGATGGATTTGAAGAGGCGGCTATATGTTCTATGCTGAAAGAAACACTTAAAGCTCTTGATTATCTTCATAGACAAGGGCATATCCATCGAGATGTTAAGGTCGGCTACACATTTGAACTTTATGTTGCATCCATAATCGTTGACATGTATTCAAAACTTTTTTTTGTATCTTATATGTTAGGCTGGAAACATACTTCTTGATGACACTGGTGAAATTAAGTTAGGTGATTTTGGTGTTTCTGCGTGCTTGTTTGACAATGGCGATAGGCAACGTGCAAGAAACACATTTGTTGGTACTCCATGCTGGTTGGTTATTGTGGTTTTCTTCATTTGCGGTCTTCTTAAGCTTCACAATTTCTCTCTACTCGAGGGGTGACATGTCATATCATGTTTCTTTTTGTAGGATGGCACCGGAAGTCTTGCAGCCAGGGAGTGGATACGATTCAAAGTGAGTTTATGCTTTGATATCAAGTGCTAGCTAAAACTCTCTACTTATCTGCATGGTCCTTGTCAAATATAGGCATATTGCAGTTAGTTCACTTTGGTATATGTGTCATCAACTTCTCGAAATCGTCCGCTGATTTGAGTTTATCTAGATAGTATTGTGATTGTTTTCGGCCCCACAGCTGTTTAAAAGTTACTATCATTTGAGTATTTTCTATGTCAAATGAAACGGAAGATCTTTAAAAACTGTTTGCATCAAAGAAATGCAATAACAGCTATTGATTGGTTTGGTCTTCTGTACCTTCCTTACAGGGCTGATATCTGGTCTTTTGGAATAACAGCGTTGGAGTTGGCTCACGGTCATGCACCTTTCTCAAAATATCCCCCTATGAAGGTATTCATTATTTTCCTTATGTGTAGTGAGAACAGATCTTATTCCTTTTTCCTGCAACAGGTACTCTTAATGACTATTCAAAATGCACCACCTGGCCTTGATTATGACCGTGATAAGAAGTTTTCAAAGGTACGCGTGTTCTTCCTAGGTATACTCTTATTTTATTTGAATACTTTCCATTTCAAGGATTGTTCTAACTAGAAGATGTCCAGCTGCGCCCAGTCTTTTAAAGAATTGGTAGCATTGTGTCTGGTGAAAGATCAAACAAAAAGGCCAACTGCTGAAAAATTGTTGAAACACTCATTTTTCAAGAATGCAAAGCCTCCGGAGATCTGTGTAAAAAAATTATTTGTCGATTTACCACCTCTTTGGACACGCGTAAAAGCTCTTCAGGTTTGCCATGCTTCTCTCTTTGTCAAGCTTGCAGTACTCGTCCTGTTTGTTCTACTCTAATTGATAGAGTCATTGTTTAACAGGCCAAGGATGCTGCACAGCTTGCTTTGAAAGGAATGGCCTCTGCTGACCAGGATGCTATATCACAGGTGACAAGTGCACAAGTTTGAAATTATTACTCAAGACTCGAATTGCATAATGCTTATATAAAAAGTTATTTTTTTTTATGTCAGAGTGAATACCAAAGAGGAGTAAGTGCTTGGAACTTCAATATCGAAGATTTGAAAGAACAAGCATCCTTGGTAAGATAAGCTTTTATAGTATATCTTAAATGATGCGATTTAAGAAACCATTGGTTTCCGTCAAATAATCCGTTCTTATAGTTTCTTTTTTTGTGTGTGTGCAATAGCTAGATGATGATGACATTTTAACAGAGAGTAGGGAAGAAGAAGAATCTCCTGGCGAACAGTTGCATAAT